TTAAATAAATATCATTAATCGTTTATGTTTACCCTTATCGGATCATTGACAGCTTAATTTAAGAAATTTTAATAGTGAGCATTGTTTCGTTGCAATAAGTGTGCATATATATATATGGTTAAAAAATTGGTATCACATGAGATCAGTCTGTTTTAGTGAGACTACTTTTTTACACTTGAAACATCACAACAAAACGCTTATTCACGGTGTTTTAGTTGTGAAAGTTCGACTTTTTTTTACCTTCACAGCGTTTTGCTGTGAAGTTTCAAGTGTAAAAAAGTGGTTTCACGAGTTCGAAATTTGTTAAGACGTCCAAAATTGATGCACTAACAAGTTTTATAATCTTAATAAAAATAGTACATGGTCAACGAAATATTTTACAGACTCGATCGATATCACGTCCTACTTAACACAAGAATACTTTCGAGATAAAGTCACAACGGTTGGTTCTTTGTTGTGAAACGTAGAGATTTCCCTTCCCTTTTCGTCGTAAACAACCGGCTCCTCGTCGTCGGTCGGGACTTTACATTTCTCCCCTAAAATAATAGGCTTTTTCACAATCGAATTCTCGTGTTTCAAATTTTTTGTGAGCGGTTTTTTGAGTTTTTTGCGTTTTCTGTGTTTTTTGTGTCGACGAGTCCCATCCTTCGTGCTCATACACGAAGTCAATTTCCCTCCTTGAGAACCGTTTGGATTTGACCGCACGTGATAAGAAGTTGTCCTCGTGATTCCTGAATGTTGCTCGTTTTCCGATTGTGATGATTCCCACGATGAAGACATGTCATCTTCGTCCTCGGATTCAGCTTTGGCTTTGGCTTCAGCTTTGACTTCGACTTCTTTTTGTTTTTCTTCTGGTTTTTCTTCTTTTGTTTGATCTTTTTTATTCGATTCCTCCTTGCTTGTTTTTCGTTTTATTAATGCACAAACGGGTGAAGCGATCGCAATTGTTGATGCAATCAAAACAAAAAGTAACGTGAGCGATACCAACGAATTGCTTTTGGGAATCTCGCTTGTCGGGAAGCTTCTTGCCATTGCTCAAAATCGTTAATCAAGATGGAAGATAATGTATACGGAGCCGAGCGCTCTTTTTCTATCTACACACGACATTTTCTTTTTCTTGGTCTGATTAACATTTTGAACGTCGGAGGAGATGGGACTCGAAGGGTGGGAAAGAAACAAAAATCGTAATAAAAGAGTTTCCATTTTGTCAACTCGGTCTTTCAGGATTTTAAATAGATTGCTCGAATTATGGAATCGAAAGAACGGAAACGAGAGGTCGAGATCGAAATATTTGGAGACAAAACATTCAACCTTGCTATTTTTAGTGCAGGTTGAATGTTTGACCGTCAGTCTATAAAAATAAAAAAACCAAATACTTTGTAAAATCCTCGTTTTAATAAACACTGGACTAGTCTAGAATTTGCATTTTTTTATTAACCTGGATATCCAACCCGCTATACGAGCCGACTAATCCCAGGATGACCACTTGTTTTGCAGGTAGTTTGAACCTCCGTGGCCACAAAGGGATGTTTATTTCTCATTGGATTTGAACCTGAGACCTTCAAGCGATTTTGACTTTTGGAGCGTAAGTTTAAACCAACCAGACACCACCCTTGTGGTTAACCTGCATTTTTGCTACACGCTCATGGTTACGGGAATCCGTTTCAAAACCATGGACATGATGTCATCTTGTGTTAGGACATGACTGTTTTTAGACAGACATAAAGATTTACTGCCTAAAATAATTGACTTTGACTTATTAACGTCAAACATCTTAAACAATCTAATACATGATCCTGCAATCAGAGCCTTCCGTAACATCCTTCCAAAGGTTGACGTTTTCCCCATTTCCGTGATACCCGTTTCATGTCTATAAAATTATTCGTTTTCCTCAACAAACAACAAAAAACTGTTACATATATTTCCGCTCTGAATCCACTCCTCTTTTTTTAAATCTTTAGCTAACATATGCGTTCACTGTGTGATTCGAATTTCTTGATTTTATGGAAAACACCTGATTCACGATCAGGTTATTAAAGATTCGACTTCTTGTATGTAAGCAGGGTTGCTCCGATTCTATTCTCCATCGAATAAATTCTTTCAGAGCATCTCCAACAGTTATGCTATATTTTCTCTCTCTTCTTTCAAATTTAGAGATTTTTCTGTATTCTCTCTCCTCTTTTTTTCTATTTTTGAGTAAAATTTAGCATAGTTGTTGTAGCAAACTTTTTTCAGATTTCCAAATCGTTTAAAATAACATAGCTGTTGAAGTTTTGAAGGATGAAAAGAGGGGTAGATGAGAAGAATATGTGGCCAATATTTCCAAGACTTCATGTAAACGATGCTGAAAAAGGAGGGCCACGAGCACCTCCAAGGAACAAGATGGCTTTATATGAACAGCTTAGTATACGTTCATCCCAAGTGAGTGCAAATTTACTCCATGTGTTTTGTTAATCGTCTTATTTAAATGATCTGTTTCAGTTTTTACTACAACAAAATTGGTTTTATAAGATATCAGATATGTCTTAATAGACTGTTTTACATGACTTGAATTTATATGATCAATTAATTGTACATTTATCTAAGTGATTTGTATCGGTTTTCACTACAACATAATTGGTTTTATAAGACATCAAATATGTCTAAATGTTCTAATATATTGTTTTATAAAATCAAACATCTGTACATTTATCGTATAAGTGTTATAATAATTTGTTAATAGTTAGCTTTTGGACACAAATAAAGTGTTCTATTATTTTTTTATATAGATATGAACACCTTTTTTATAGAACAATTATTTTTATATCAATTTTTTTTCAAACAATGTCATATAAAATACTAATGGGCTGTTTACCTAAATGTTTACCCGGTAAGCGTTTATCGTTATTAGTCAACACTATAATTTATTTTATGGATGTAGTACATCAAAATGGAATGATATGCAACAATTTACCTGGTAAGAGTCGTTACCCTCACTTACCGGGTAAGATTCTTGGGTCTCGCCGTGTTCATCCGGTAAGAAAAATTACCCTGTAAACACATACCGGGTAAGCATTTAATAAACATCCCCTAAATTTGTTATAGCAATGATGACTTTTTGTTCAGACAATCTGTAAGTTGTATGAGCGGTTTCTGAAAAGCTTTTGCGATTATTGTATGATTACAGGGGGACATGAGCAAAAGGGGTTCGTTTCTCCCACTTCAACGGACTCCTACAATGGATATAGCTGATAAAAAGAGTAACCAATACTTTGACTTAAATAATCAAATACGGCAACGAGAGCAAAAAAAGAAACAAAAGGAAGATGATTTCAGAGCTTCGGTCTTTGCTCAACAATCTGAAATAAATCTCGAACATAGTGATCCTATTAATGGTGATGTTGTCTCTGGGATATCGATGGTAGATTCCATATCCGGAGACGACATCTCTCCTGATAATGCCATCGGAATTATGGGTCAGAATCAATTTTTGAAGGCAAGAAGAGCCATCGTCAAGTAAGTTATAGATATTCAAACAAGAACAATAATCAAATAAAATAACACGAGAACGATCAAATCACATATGATCTTACACTGAACCCAGGTGTAAAATCACATCTGATTACGCGCGACGTTGGCTGCGACCTAGGTCACGGGTCAAGTTGTCCGCACACACTTGCGTTGATGTGTTCCGTAATCACATATGATTTAACCATTCTTGTGGTATGACCCTTTTCTCGTTTGATCCCTATACGTATATTTAAAGTTATGGAGGAGTATTTTCTTGTTATATTTTACTTTCATGGTGTTTGCAGCCAACGAAATGCGTTTTCTGGTCAAGTGTTTGAGCTACATAGATTGATAAAGGTATACCGTTCTTCCTTGTGAAGTTGATTATTAGTAGTCTACTAATGCAACAGAAATCAAAGAGACAGAGACACGTTCAATAAATTACAAAACTAGCATGTCACGTTAAAACAGTCCACAATTACTTTACAATCTGATCCAGTTATTTATGCGTACCAAATGCAATTTGATTCACCGCGTGATGCAACAGGTTCAAAAACTAATTGCGGGATTCCCCCCACCGATGGTTGAAGATGATGCGTTTTTGGGGAAACTAGCAAAAGTTTCTCCGATCAAGAAGGTTCATGTAGAGTATGCTCTGAAGTCGTCAACAAATGTTCCGAATGACACGAGGGACTTCTCAGTCAAGAATGTTGTTGAGAGGCCAAAGGATGACACGAGGGACTTTTCAGTCGAGAATACTGTTGAGAAGGCGCCTCTTTTTTCCGTTCAAAACAACCATCATTCCACGTTTTCTGGGTATCTGTTACCGCCATCCGACCCGAATTTTCAACTACCCGGGCATCAATGGCTAATCCCTATTATGTCTCCCTCCGAAGGACTTATCTACAAGCCTTACCCTGGACCGGGATACTTGCTCCCAGGTCCTGGACCTCCTACATCAGCTCCAATTATCGGTAAGATCCCATACTCACAAATACTTTTTCGCGTCATTCAATCGAATTAGAATTCACCGACCATAATTGATTATCCAATTGTAAATGGATCGAATCAGATCTAAAATTTCAACATTCAAACTAGATCGGTCGGGTTTGATTCGATCCGTGCTCACCTGAATCCATCGAATTTTAACCAATTAACTGATATTTATCCAATTTCATCACTCGTATATGCTTTCTTATAAAGATTTAAATCAATAATGTAAGTATGCTTAACGCCTAGCGAACTTTCTATTTTTTCGCACAATTTAGAGTAGAGGTCATGTTTGCGTACATCCCAACCACGACCCCATATCCACATGGGATATATTGGGGTCGTTGAAATAGCGTTTTATGATTATATATCACTATTCATACTTGTTGATATCAGGGCATAACTTTGTAAACCATGGAGTCTCACCGCCGACGCAACCTTACCAATGGCCCCCGGGATTCCATCCGCCGGTTCCTCCGACCTCCCATGGTTTCTTCCCTCCTTATGGTATGACAACGATGAACACATCGGGTGGTGAAGAAATGAATCCATTTAACATGCAATGTCAGAGCTCGGGTAATGTTCCGATTGTGGCCAAGTTTCACACGTCTAACGATAGCGAGGTACAAGTCAATATAGCAAGCAGTCAAAGCAACGTAACGCGAAACCAAGACACCCTTCCTCTTTTCCCGACATGTCCTTCGTCCGAGCGTGGTGCGGAACCCACTTGTGTTATCAGAGTCGTACCGCACAGTGCCCAATCGACAACGGAATCTGTAGCTCGGATTTTTCAATCCATACAAGAGAGAAATCAACCAAATGGTCTTTGACCCACTAATAATACATGTTTTGATTGCATTTTTGGAGATATATACATGTTATGCGTCACTTGTTTAGGGGTAATAATGTCATTTCATAAAATATGTCACGGCACCTTTCATAAGCATATGCATACAAAATATTTGCAACGTTAATATTATGAAAAAATCTTCGATATATTATTTTTATCACCAAAAATAACATTGATTTGTAATAATTCATATAAAAGCATTTCTTTGAGTGTTCCTCTCATGTGTATTAGAAAATTTTGGGCCCCAATTTTTTGTGGCACCTTGGGTAGGGTTGCACATGAGTTGGGTTGGTTGAGTTAAAGACATTTGAATAATCCAATCCAATATTTGCGGTTTAAAAAATCTCAACCCAACCCAAACTGTGCGAGATGGCTTGGGTTGATCGGTTGAAACTTTGATACATCATTTTACAATCTAGCTAGGTGTTTATGTTTAAACGAAATAAAATTAAAATAGTAACATACAGAAAATGCTAACAAATTAAAAAAAAATTCAAGGTTCATGCAAATAAGAAAGTAAATTATGGTTGAAATTAAAACATAATTTTAAATATAGCTGATTACAAATTAGTCTAATGTCTAATGTACATATGTTAATTAAGGACTTAAGAATCATATTATAGCCACAATATAGAAAAGAATCGGGTTCATCGGGTTCAATTGTGTTCAAATGACCTAACCCAATTCCAACCTAATAGATGCAATTTGACCTAATATTGTATCAACTATGCGTTGGGTTACTTTGGGTTGAATTAGCCGGGTTCATCGGTATTTTGAGCAACATAGGATTAGTCGAGGTGCATATAAACCGATTAAAATAGATACAGTTAATAAAACAAATCAGAGACCGTGATTTGTTGTCATGTACTGTATTTTAACATTTTTAGAACTACGTAGACATCTTATTAATTTGAACAAATAAAGTAATGAATTTATCTGACGACAAGCTTTCCATATATGAGGAAATTTCAGCGCCAATCTTGGAGTTGACAAATGGTCTATTTAACACACATCTTAACAAAAAACGTTTAGTTATTGAATGGTTGTAAATTTTAAATAACGTTTTCTTCTGTAAGCGTCAATAATACCCACCATAATAATGGGCCAAAAATGGCCTCCAAAGAGGCTTGACCAACTCACTTTTATCTTGGGCTTAAAGCCCGTCCGATGAATACCCTAATTCTATAACCGTTCCTTCAATATCATTTGCACCGTCGATGCGATTTCGCGAGCAGCAGCAGAAGCAGAACAGAAACTGTGGTGAGTACTCTGTTTATGGTGTGTTTTATCTGCTCCATTTTGTGCTATGATCTAGGGTTTTCTATGAGCTGCTTCTTTGAATTTGATGAGTCATTGCTGGTAGTGAAGATTCATTTATGTTGAAATGAAGATTTTGTGTTCTGATGGAGGCCAACTGTTTGATAAAATTCCTCATGCTTGTTCCTGCTGTATCTTGTTTTCTGATTAACGAACAACATCGTGCTTGCAACATACGTATACACGAATTTCATTGATGTTCAATTAGAAGTAGAATGTATTATTGAAGGTTAATTGAGATTTAGGTAGATTGTAAGTACTGTACTTGTATTTTGACAACTTACACGCGTATATTATGGCGTGCATGAATGTGTGATTCTATATTTTGAAGTCAAACTTTGTTTTGGTACCTGGGCATTGACATTAAATCAAAGGGGTATCCCTTTTTTGTAGGAGAAGGAAAGGGTGTATAGGTTTTTTGGTGATTCCAGTTTTAGCTCATTACGACCATGGTTGGCTGTGATTAGTAATGCCCACCCAATCTTAGGGCTGTTTGGTTGGTTTTCCATTAAGTCCTTTATGAATAAAGCTGCCTGGGTGGATTAATTGGGTTCTCTGGGAGGGTTTTTTCATTGGTGGAAGGACCATGTTTTTTAATTGAGAGGGGTAGGTATAAAGCTCTTCCGAGAAGCTTACTGAATAAGCCACTTTCTATATACCAAACAGTCATGTATAGCTGACGGAATAAGTTGTGAGTTCCATTAAGCTCATTAAGCTGCAGACAGAAAGGCCCTTACACTTTCTATGGAAACAGAATTGGGACTTGATGAATACCATAGTAAATCCATGTTATAATGGTTTCTTTAACATAACTGCAATTTTTTTTATCTGATTTCGCTAGGGGGAAGCAGCAAAAAAGCGGTTGGGGTGAGTGTTCTTTATCTTCTATAACTACAGGTGAAAATGGCGACTCAAATGAGCAAAAAACGAAAGGTTAGTTTTATCAATTTACGGTTACAAGTTGATATTATGTTTGTTTTCTCATAGATCATATGTTATTCGTTTTTGCAAAACAGTTCGTAGCTGATGGGGTGTTCTTTGCTGAGTTGAATGAGGTCCTTACCAGGGAACTTGCAGAAGATGGTTACTCTGGTGTTGAAGTTAGGGTTACGCCTATGCGTACAGAGATTATCATCAGGGCCACCCGTACCCAGAACGTGCTTGGTAATATTCTAATCACTTTATGTTTGATTTAGTCATTCATTCGTAGAACACAATCCATAAACTTGCTAAGTTATTGATAGGATAAATATGAAGCAAATTCGCATGTCTTCATCGCTGAATTTCATAACTATTTTGAACTTTCAATATTTTTTGTTGATATGATGTGCTAAACACTTATGACATGAGGATGACAAATTTATGAAGAAGGGTTTCAATCCTCATTCAAGTCATCAAGATTGAGTTCGTGGTTAGCGACTGTTATATTCTTCTAATAAGGATGAAGTATCACGTGAGAATAGGAGTTAATTTTGAGAAGCGTAAGAAGGGATATGGATCTTTGATCACTTTAATCTCACCCCCACCCCATGAATTTTGTTTCTCACCGGACTTGATCGGTGTCTTATTACCATTGAGCTGCAATTAGGATTGATACAGGGGTGGAGATCCCATCTTACTCTTCTCACCATAACTTCCATTCTCACCGGAATCCAACCCTCTAATTAGGGATTTAGTTGTGTGTGGGAAGGATTAACAATTTAATGTGATAAATACAAATTTCTGTTTTACTGTTTTTTCTTGAGCTCTTATTGATTGTTAACTTAGACAAAGTTGTCAACAGACTCGTAAAATGATGGTTATCTAATATTTGCTTATTGAAACTGATTATCCAGGTGAGAAGGGAAGGAGAATAAGGGAGCTGACATCTCTTGTTCAGAAGCGATTCAAGTTCCCTGAAAACAGTGTGGAGCTTTATGCTGAAAGGGTTAACAACAGAGGGCTCTGTGCCATTGCCCAGGCTGAATCTTTGCGATACAAGCTTCTTGGTGGGCTAGCTGTCCGCAGGTTTGTACACATTAAATATTTAAGTTTTTTGCTCTTATTCAGCAGGATAATACACTTAGGGTCCGTTTGGTTTGCGGGATTGGATTTTGGAGGATTTGGAATTCAATTCCATTCCTATCTCATGTTTGGTTTCAAGGATTTCCTGGATTTGAAATCTCGAGATTTCATTGAAATGCCACAAACATAGGCTTTTGAAATCCCACAGGGATGGTTGGTATTTCGTAGGATTTGTATGTAATAATGTTTTAAAACATGTGAAGACATTTGTTTTGAAATATTCGATTAATAAAAAAGTAATTTAATTATTTTTATAATTTGTTTATAAAGAATTGAATTCAATTCCATTCCAAATCCTACAAAACAAACACGCCAAAAATTCCAAATGCTTCCAAATCTAAATCCCTCAAAACCATTCTGTCAAACCAAATGCCCCCCTTGGGGTGTTTGGTTAGAGGTATTAAGCAGTAATTAATGAGATAAAAGAAACTGTTTGGTTTTATATTACATAATGGGCTCATTCCCATGGAATCCCAATTTTTCATACCAGGTTAAACTGGGAGGAATGAAAATTCATTCCAGTTTTCATTCTCTGTCATTTTCATTCCTCTGCCTGAGCGGTAACTGTTCCAGTTTAATACAGTGGAAAACAGGTGATCTATAACTGGGACATGATATAGCTCTGTTTTCAAGTATAAACGAATAAGTATTTGATCATACCATCATAGTCCAGATTTAGTTCGATATGATTATATGAACTCATATTCTATTGGACTGTTTTTAGGGCTTGCTATGGTGTTCTAAGGTTTGTCATGGAGAATGGGGCAAAAGGGTGTGAGGTATGTAAATAGATGGCCATTCTTCTGTTATCTCAAGACAAATTTTTATATTACTCAGCACCCTTGACCACTTTCAGGTGATTGTCAGCGGAAAGCTTAGAGCTCAACGAGCGAAATCAATGAAGTTCAAAGATGGGTATATGGTATCATCTGGTCAACCCGTGAAAGAGTATATCGACTCTGCTGTAAGACACGTGCTTCTAAGACAGGTAAAACCATTTGTTCTCTGGGTGCGTATGGTATGCTAGATAGAACAAAAACCTGTTGTCCCACTTTTGGTTTGACAATAGACTCGAGTAAGACAAAAATGCACCAAAAAAGGTGGAACAAAAATCAGGGAGATTGATACAAGATTGGTAGTAAATTACTAAACTACTTGTGTCAAAATAAAACCCTAAAAACCTTCCATAATTCTTTCACCTGGTTATCAAGTCCTCACTCCTCTCCATACTAAATGCACTAGGGCTGTTTGTGGTGGGGTTTGGGGCAAAACTACAAACCTCATCGAATACGTGGTTTGAACATCTTTGCGGTGCGGTTTATGCGGTTTGTACGTACGGCACTTTACGTTTAAAATACAATATTATGAAATCCACTCTAACGTGACCGTAGTCCAAAAAAAATATGAAGTGTCAACATGTCTGATATCCAAATACATATTTCATAAATTAGAAATAGTTGGAATAAAAAAATTAACTTCAAACAAAATCATTACGACTTGAAAGTAACTCAAGTTAGAATGCTGAAGTTGCATATCAACACAAAATTGAAAAAAATATGGTGAAATTGTGTCATGAATCTTAATTAAAGTGTAGCCTAATGGATTATTGGGCTATAGTTTATTAATATTATTCTTTCGAAGTTCAAAACTTTGGACTTATTAATGGACTACAGGAGAAAATAGATTAAAAAATATTCCACATATATGTGCGGTGCGGTTTGAACTTTGAACGGTGGTTTGATAACTCAAAACGTCAAACCATATTGCATAATGCGGTTTGGTAAAAATGCCAACCGCACCTCGGAAGTTCAAAACCGCGCTTTGCGGTGCGGTACAGAGTGGGCGATTTGGGCGGTTTAGATGAACACCCTTAAAACATGCACAAGTTGGATGATGGAAAATGAAATTTTCTTTGCAACCATTTTTCATATGACAGTTCCATCATATCCTCAAATAACTTGGTACTCCATTATGTGTTCAGGGTGTTCTTGGTATCAAAGTGAAGATCATGCTCGATTGGGACCCTACCGGAAAGCTTGGCCCGAAGACGCCTTTGCCTGATAATGTGATAATCCATATGCCCAAGGATGACGTTATCGCACTCCCACCAAAAGAGGTAGAGGAATATAGACCACCACTTGTGATTACTGATGAGCCTATTCCGATGCCTGTTCCTGTAGTTTAAAACTACTACGGTGAGAGGATTAGAGTTGTATGATCGAGCAGATACGTATCTGAAACTTTCGCCAAGATAAATTTTCATTTCGGTCTAACTTTTTTTCGAGTTTGATGGGATTATTAAGACTTGGTTTTTGGCCTACTGTTAGTTTTATCTATTAAAATTTTGTACTGTTCTTCAAACATGGTTTTGTGTTGATTCTTTTTGGAGCGCATGCTCAGCCCCTTTTGTTATACAAGGCATAGTTATTAGCAGCTTAACGAGATTAATGGGTCTTGCTGCTTATTCGGTCAGCTATACATGGCAATCTTGTAGTGGCTTAATGATATAGAAAGTGATTTATTCGTTAAGATTCTGTTGGAGGGTTTATGTAGAAAGCTAGATTTTTTCCAAAGCTGTCCCTTCCAATTAAAAAACTCTTTTCATCTCTGAAAAACTCTTCCAAATGAAAACCTTCTCAATTACGTAGACAACTTTATTTATGTTGGACTTTATGGAAAACTAACCAAATAGCTGCTAAATGTTTTGTGGCTTGGGGGATTATTATGTTTATCAATAAACGGTGTTGTCATAGGTTTTTGGCAATGATAATAAGGGATTGTTTACCAAATGTTTATGGGCTATTAAAATGAAGTGTTTGTAAACATCTCTTACCACTTAGTGCTAACCGAATAAAAGCGTTTTTTCTCACTTATTGGATAAGAACCTTGGTTGTACCATGCCTCTTAATGTGATTTTTGTCATGTTCACTTGGTAAGGTAAGTGATCCGGTAAGCATTTGTTAACGTCTTCCAAGTGTTGTTTTACAGTATCTGAGTTGGATGAAAAATAATTTTTCTACTTGTTTAAAATAGACAGAATAAAAATATGAAAGATGAGACAAGATGGGTAAATTACTATAAAATATCCATATTAAATTAAAACTTTGAAATCTTTTAAAATTCATTTACCCGCCTACATCATTCTTGTCTGTCCAATCTCATTTGTGTGCAAAATGCACTCTAACTGAAACAAATTAACGATGTGATAATAAGGATCATTAGAGAAGACAATACACATGTAATCTGGCAAGCGTAACAGAAGTTGCCTTTCTGTCAATAAAACTTAATACGTCGAGTTTCTAAACGAGCTACTCAATCTCGAGTTTAATAATTTTTGAGCTCAAATCGATCTCGAATATAAAATAAAACTCGTTTTACTTATCTAGTCGAACTTCATAACACCAATGTTTTAAAACTCAATTGGATTTCTCGAGTCGAGCCGAGTCATTCGAATATACACATTTTTTAGCCAGACATGATCATGTGTTCATAAATCATAAAATAAAAATATATAAATTATCAAACTCGGGCCAATAAAAAGAGTTAACCGATAGCAAGTTTGAGCCCATAAACAAGCATCAAACTCAAGCTCGATAACTCAAAAAATATGCGAGCTCAAGTGCGAGTATTCTTTTCCAAGTTGAGCTACTTGATTCACTCATTTACACCCCTAGTGGAAACTCCACCCTTTTATGTTCTAACAAGTAGGCATGTTGAAAAGGGTGGAGTTTTCACACAATAAGCTTTCGGGTACAAATCCGGTCCAATCCAGTTGGTCGACCCAATAACGACCATGGGATGAGATTGGTACTTTGCAACATATACCGTTAAAAAACATCGAAAATCGGGTTGAAATATAAGAAAACCCTTTTAACTCAAATTCATGATATAATTACCAACAAGTTTGCATAAAAACAGTAAAAAACCCAAATCTGAATTTTTTTACAGAAGTCAACACCCCTCCAACTGCACTTCCCTCCTCTTTTTTACTTTTATCTGCCACAATATCCTTAAACCAACCCACCAACATACAATCAGCAACTAGAGAGACCTAAATCACTCTTATTTGCCCACAAAAAAGCAAACACCAAATACCCGACCGACCCACCGATATCACTCGTTCGTCGCATCGAAACTCCCCATCGCGTTCGTTCTCTTCCTCTCTCTCCAATTCTCTCCCCAAACCTTAGCCTCCGCCACCGCTCGTTCTCTCTCAAGATCCCGATCCCGGTTCCTCCCTCTGCTCGTATTCGCCGGACTGTTCCTCTGAGACCCATCCAGATCCTCCGCCACCGCCCATTTCCGCCCAGAACCACCACCTCCGTTACTGCTTTCACCATCCCCTCCTATCTTCCTGTAATCTGGAGAATTCTTGAAAGCAGAAGGGGAACCCTGGGGATCGAGGCTATCTAGACCGCCGCCGCCGCTGCCTTCACTCGGGTTCCTTCGGCTCCTGGGAGTACCGGACCCGCTGCCTCTGTTACTTCTCTCGGTTCTGGCGGCTTCGGGGTCGTAGGTTTGAGATGCTAAGTATGTTAGAGCCGTCACGACGTCGCCAATCAGGGGACGTGTGGCGGCTTGCTCTTGCAAACACATTGCGGCAACTGCAAGTGCTTGGTAAAGTCCTCTTACCGGATAACGTCCTTGCAGCAATGGATCAGCCATCTTCGCGAACTTCCTCCGATCCTTGAAAAGTGGGCGTGCCTATAAATTGCACCAAAAGTGAAATAGATGGATTCAAACAGATACCGATAACCATAATCTATAAATTGCATGATTTTGATAGTGATAGATGTTAAGATCGGACAAGATTGGTAAATTACTAAACTAACCATATCAAATTAAAACGTTACAACCGTCCATACTTCTTTTACCAACCTACCTCACTCCCACCCGTCCCGTCCCGTCCAGTCATCCGGAGGGGATAGGAGAGAACAAGACATGATAGGACATAATAGATAAAATGATCAGTTTATCCCTAATGAGTTGTTTATATATTTTGATTAATTTATATAATTAATTAAATTGTAATAATTCAAAATATCATGAGAGTTTTCGTCAACGATTAGAATAACACCAAAATATGAAGTTTATTAGTTTCCAGTTTTTATTTTATACCTTTTCTATAATATTTTTTGTTATTAGATAAATTAACCAAAATATATAAATCGTATAAAAATAATATTTTGAGGACAGTAAAGTGAAAGTTTAAAGGGAATAAAATACAATAAATAAAAAAATGTAAAGAGGGAGACGTTTGATGTTTTAGAAGAGAATTAAGTTTTATTTTAACGGTCTATTAGTAAAATATGGGTCTGTTCCACCTTTTTTCCATGTTCATTTAACCAAACGCACCCTAAAGAAAGTGAGAGTATTACGACTTACCCAGGCAACAAGATTATGTTCTCCAGGAGCACGGGTATTGTCAATGGCTTTTCGTCCAGTGATAAGTTCAAGGAAAACGACACCGAAACTGTAGACATCCGACTTCAATGTGAGTTGACCGGTCATGGCATATTCCGGCGCACAGTAGCCATACGTGCCCATCACCCTGGTGGAGACATGCGTTTTATCACCTACAGGACCCAGTTTAGCAAGCCCAAAATCCGACAGTTTAGGGTGGTATCCCTCATCAAGAAGAATGTTGGACGATTTTAAGTCTCTATATATGACCGGAGGGTTTGCTTTATCGTGCAAATATTCCAAACCCTTGGCTGCACCAGCAGCAATCTTCATCCTCGTGTTCCAGTCCAAAGGTTCTTTATCTGGCGGAAGATCTGAAGGAAAAAAAAGGAATACCATAACTGTAAGTTCTAAGTAAGAGTCTGTTTGTTAGCAGCTTAATGAGCTTAATTGATGTGACTCACAACTTATTTGGTCAGCTATACATGATTGTTTGGTAGTGGCTCAATGATATAGAAAGTGACCTGTTCAGTAAGCTTATAGGGGGAGCTTTATGCAAAAAGCCAAGTTTTTCCAAACCTGACCCTCACAATTAAAAAAACAGGCTCCTTCCATCTATGAAAAACCCTCCCAAACAAAAACCTTCCCAATCCATACAAACAGATTAATCCACACAGGACTTGATGGAAAACCAACCACACAGCCCTAAGTCGGTTTAAGGTCATAAGATACAAGGTGCAGGCTCATTTGAGAACCGTAAATATTTTCAGAATCATGAGAACCAACTACTCATGAATTATTCATGATGAATATGTCGTGATAGATATTCATGACATGCATGGCATTCATAATGAATAATGAATAATCTTGAAAAGCTAAGCATTTTACTGATTGGAACAAGAGTGAATTCTTTGTGTGATGAGAATCATAACGTTACAGCAAGACAAATTCTCAAACTTGTCCTGCATAATAAAGGGTAATCACAATGTCGTCAAAATGGCAAGCAAGAAGAAATTGTCAGTTTGCCTTTCCTGTTCCAACTCTTTTATGGGATCAAGAAAACGAGAAACTCAAACCCCAAAGAAGTTATTTGAGGCCATACACAGAGTCAGACCTCAACCAATAAATCCCAAAAGCTCGACCCGAATAATAGAAACTAAGGACGATACACATGCATCCTCCTCAATATCAACAATACGAGATGCGTTTCTTGATATCAAATTAATGCAATGACCAACTTAAGTATTCATCGAATTCCAAGCAATCACAACCCGGATCACATCAAATTAGCCACACGGCTTATTGTCACTTATAAGAATTCCATATCTCCAACCAAGAAAGGGTTTAGTGTCATTATATACACCCATTTACAGTTACATCCAACAAAATCCTTCGGGAAGATACAACAAGCATTCAAATCTCAAGTGTGAATAGCATTTTTTTCATCCAAGGTGAGCCATGGTCTTGTGAACATTAGGAACTGTATGAAAACTATTCACAATGAATATTGAAGCATAATAATTTGAAAACAAATTGACATAAAAAACCAACTGTTTCCCTATGTCAAACAACAGAAATATCACATATATGTAGGCTAGTACCAGAAAAAATACTCCCTCCGTCCCAAAATACATGTCCATGATCAAAAGGGCACACGGTTTTATAAATATGTAAATATTACATTCTTTGATTAACTAAATGATGATTTTACCCTTAATGATAGAGTAACAAACTTTTCTCCATCTCATAATAAAGGGTAGAATTGGACAGCCAGCACTTACTTTTGAAAGTGAACTTCTAGTTTATTAAGGGTCGGTAGTCACCACAGTCAAAATACTACCAGTGGCAGTGTCGGTGGTGGGTCATTGGCTTAGTGGTACCTAGGTTACTGGTAGAGACCATCTCCCAAGAGGTCAAGGGCTCAAACCTCGTCAAAGGCAAGGAGTGTGCCTGAGTATTTATAAATATTATATACTTCAAAAAAAAATGTTTGGTGAAGGTAAGATTAAGATCATGCGCATAAGAAACACCAAAAAGAATTTTATGATCAAATATGAAGAAGAGAAGCAGCAAATGGTAAACATATGTCCTAAAGTAGTAGACCGCTATGATAATTCAGATAACTAGCAACACAAACTGAATAATATACCAACATGGTACAGACACGGGACACCTCCAACAAATGTTTGTTCTTGCATGCAGCAATACTTGATATAATATACCATGGTTCATGTGATATGCCGTTCATATACAAAGAGTTATGACATCTGACAAGGGTACCAAATTGGTGTTTCACAAAAGCACACAAACTAGCAGAATGGTTAAACTTTTAACACGAGATTTTAACAAATAAATCCATTAGGACTAGAAAGACCATAAAATACTTAAGTCACTAGCAGACTCAATTGAGTTAGACCACCAATATGAATGAGCAGGTTCAAGAATATTAGGGCTTGTTTGATTTAATGGATTTTGAAGAATTTGGATTTCGTGGAAGGATTTGGAATCTTTGTTGTGTTCGGTTTGTAGGATTTCACTATAAACCCAAAGACAACCAATAAAATCAGATTGGTGTACTCTTACACAGTTTAAATAAAGGTATGGAAAATACCACATCATTAACTCCAAATAGCCAATTAAATCATCTATGAGAATATGCATACAAAACAACTCATGCACTTACAACTTTGCAATGCGGTAGCCTAATGCAAACTACTCACGAAAACAACATTGATAAATTCACATCAAGGGTCGACAACAAATCAAAGTGAAAGTATTAGAATACTATTTTCCTAAGGGACCCAAAATACAAAACCACAAAAGATAATATCAATCGCAGCTACACTGAGTGATTAACATTCGAACCCTTGAAGTTGGCACTTCCTTTTTGAACAATCAACTGTAATTGTGATAGTACAAAGGAAAACACTACTGTTGGTAAGCAGTAGGTTAACACGGATAGATTTTTAATGGTGTTAAACTCACTATTGGCTATATACAACAAAATAACAAAAAAAGGCCTCTAATTGTTCAAATCACCAACTACTTCCACTTTTCCCCAACTTTTTCTTCGTCCCTATGTAACACGAAAACATTGACTACCATGGCACTCTAGTCCTTTCTTCTTATCTCGTTATAGAGTCTGATGAAAGCTTTATTTAGCATGTCATTTCCAGCATAAGTTCATATAAAAATATGATTGTGTTTTAGGAAGCTACAATTCTTTGAGGGAGTTTTGAAGAACATTTCTTCTGAATTGACCAATTAATGAATAACCTTTGGTCATTCCATTATGCATAGTTGGATTCTGTGACAAACCTACAGATTGTTATAAGTCCTTTAATCGAAGTACATGATTGAGGTCTAATATTCGGTGATATCTTTGGGAGGCTTTGGAATTCACCAAGTTCAATACAAAGAAAAAAGACAAAGTTAGGGGTATGGAAACAGTGAAGTGGGGCGGAAAAATGCGAAGAAAGAGTGAAATAAGAGGACTCGCTTTCTTTTTGGTAGACTGATAAAAATCACTAATCAAGAAATTGCGTTTGTAAGATCAAGCTCAGCTTGTGGATCCTTGGCTTGACATGGCGCAAATCCTGTTGAAAGAGAGGGGTGCCTTCAGGAACACGGACACAGGTGATGCATGGCTGTCGTCAGCTCGTGCCATAAGGTGTTGGGTTAAACTGCATATCCGAATCGCAGGAACAATCTGACCCCAATCTCAGGATACCTCTTTGAGAGGAAGGAAAGCCCATTCAAAGACTTTGTTAGTTAAAATGATGGTGAAGTGAAATTTAAGGGCATTCTCGTATATCTACAATGTCAAACTTGGACAATCTAATCATTTCATCCATTTTGGATGTCATGCTTGCAGAACCTATTAATGAGTTTGACAACATTGAAGATCCATAGCCACTTGGGTTGCGACGGACTGGTCAAGGCTCAAGGGGGATGTAGTGGAAATCTCATCTTCCCGGGGTTCGAATTAAGGCGATGCCAAAGCCCTTGTGACCATGGAGGTTCACCTGCGACGACTCTAGGCAATTCATGGTCGCACGGGGGATTAGTTGCTGTGTGTAAGCTGGCTTGAATACCCACGGTTACCCAAAAAAAACCATTGAAAATCCACCCATTTTCAATATTTTATGCTAATGGAAATGCTTCTTTTTGCATTTTCACAAGTAAGTTGCTCACTCAAAGAAGAGCGTCAATTAAAATGGTTTGAAACACTCATCTCTCCGGATACTAACCAAATCCATTAGACATGAACCCTACTTCAATCCTAAACATTGTTATGAGTTCTTTAATTCACAAATCTAAGCCAGAGCTTGTGCAATGATTCAGTTGAATCCAAACAAAAGAAATAGAGACAGTGATATGAATACTAAGGCAAGGAAGAAAAAACCTCTCAGAAAGGAAGAAAGAGAGACAATGTTATGGTGATTTAACGGCATGTTTGTATATTTGCCATGTTAGAGTTGGACAACAATGTCATTTCATCCATTTTCTAGTAAAATCCGTAAATAAACTTAACAGAATTGAAAGTAGTGAAGGTCCAATGCATGTTTTGCAGAGAGAAAAATCTGACCGTGTAAATGATCCTCGAGCGATCCCAAAGGCATAAACTCATAAACAAGAAGACGCTGATCTCCATCTGCACAATAACCTATCAAGTTGACAAGATTTGGATGATGCAAGAGACTAAGCATGAGAACCTCGACTAAAAACTCTCTATTCCCTTGAAGACCATTTCGATCAAGCTGCTTCACAGCAACTACCTGCAAACAACAAAAAACTATTCAAGATTAGAGACCTAGAAAACAGCCTCCTACTGATTATTTAGCTTATTAGTTGTCAACATTCAGGCATGTGATAATATATGAATCTTCAAACACAATCACCTGTCCTGTGCTTTCCAAACGACCTTTGTGAACACGCCCAAATCCACCTTCGCCTAGCAAGGACTCGGGACGAAAATTCTTTGTTGCTGCAGCAAGCTCGCGAAAAGTAAAAATCTGTGCAGCAATGTTTGCTGTTTGTCCATCTTTTGTAACCATTTGGTCCTTCTTGGGATCCAAATTAACACGAGATTTTGATTTTCCTATAAGAATTACGGAATTAGACACCCAATAAAGCCCTAGTAAGACATATGAAACCGAAACTAAGGTTATAACTATAACTAGAAACAAAGGTATTTATTCGCACTCCATGTTCTCACTGCATTCACATGAACACAGCCAAATTTCTTAATAGCCCAAAAGTTATCTCCAAATTTTAAAGCAGATCTTTAAGATACATTCTTGAACCACCGCATTACTTCAAACCAATTCAAAATCTTGAAAAGACCCAAGTCATCGAATCAAGAAACTAATCAACGAACCAGATCAGACTATAAATTGAAGATGCGTAAAACAGGCAAGAATTCGCTAAGAAAACCCATCACATCCAACCAAAAGAAAATACATAAAAAAAGAACGAAAATTCAAAGATGGAAAGGTGTTTAATTACCTGAACTAACCCTACTAACATGATGAGATTGATGTGTAGCTGAACCCTCTTTCCCAATATCCTTCTTCGACACTTCTTTTACACCATTTCCTTCTTTGTTTGATGAACCAAAGCATGGAAAACACCCACCCATGCCAAAAAGAACAAACCCACAAATTATATCTGATGGGTTCTTTATATCCCTTCTTGTATTCTATACATACGAAATTAAACAACCCACCACTTGCGAAAGAAGACACTATCTTAATCCAAACCCTTTCTTGGTCACTATGATTCTGAATGAAAAATTGGAGGCCATAAGCTAACTCATGAGTGACCGATCAACAGTAACTTGTTGTTTCTCACCGAAAAAAGCAGATCAACAAATTGAAGAAACTGATGGTCGAAGAGGAAAAAGAAGGGAAGGGAAATTAAAGAAATATAATAATAATATCTATATGTGTGTAGAAAGAAAGGAGTGGAATCATGGTAAGTGAAAAAGATTGGATTTTTTATTTTGGGGAAATTTGGAGCGGTTAAGAGGGAATTAGGTGAAGTAGATTGTGGTGTAATCTTCTGGAAATCTACGGTGGTTTTGGGTATTTTCGAATCTCTTTTTGTCCTTTGGAATAGGAGCAAATTACGGGTTCGGGCCATCATTAACGGCTCCGGTGGTCTTTGTGTTGGGTGGGGTCCCGCTCCATAGGTGCTTCCACTCCTCTCTCATTCTCCCCCATTGAATACGTCTTTCTTTGGTTGGTTTTTTATTATATTTTTTACATAAAACTCCCTCTAGAATATTTTCAAAAGTTATGTGCATTGTTGTTGCGTTCCTCAAAGGCATCTGTCTCAAGGAAATTGGTAGTCGGGTACTCGGTGTTGGCGGTGATTGGGTTCGAGGCCTTTTGTTTTCATTTTTTTTTTCGGTGTGGTTTTATCTCGTTCATTGGTTGTGTTGTTCTTTTTGAGCTCTCGTTCCGTTTTTGTGCGTCTTGTACAAATATATGACACTACGTCATATGTAGGTATGCTTCTGATATATTTATAAAAGATACGCTTCAATGTATAATTTTAGGTTTAATGGTGTATCTTAGATAAGATATTTCAAAATTAAATTGTAATAAATTTCAGTAGGGCGATTTTGGGTTTAATTAGCCATTTTATGTAAAAGATATGTTTTTTTTAATGTTTTTGATTATTTAAAAGATTTGTTTTTTTTTTATTATCACAAAGAGACACATTTCAACCAGAAGAGTGGTGTTTGATTGGTTTGAGCTTGGCTCCAAAGGTCAAAAATGTTTAGAGGTCTCAGGTTCAAATCCAATAAGGAATAAAAATCTTTTTGTGGCCACGGAGGTTCAAACGCGGTGACTCCGAACTACCCGCAAAGCTGGTGCTCGTCCTAGGATTAATCGGCTCACATAGCGGGTTATATATTCATGTTGATAAAAAAGACACCTTTCATTACGTGTTTATTACTAATTTATGATTTGACGACGGAATTGGGATCATGTGATAATTTTGTCTTTTTTTGAAAACCATCAGACCCCCTTCGTTACCCTTTGATGAGTTCAGTTGTTTGATCCGAAGCCTAACAAAATTGAGATGGCATAACCGTAAATAAACCGAACTTCTATGAGCTTGATGTGGGAAGATACGAAACTTAACATACCTTAACATGTTGTGACATGAAGATATTGAATCTTAGCTAATATTAACAAAATGAACGTAGTTTAACATACCTTGATATGAAGAAATAAAAAGTGACATGTTTTAACACAAAAAATAATTAACATTAACATTTTTTTTTAACGTACGTACTGTAACATGGAAACTCTCATGTTAAGATACATGATGACACAAGTATATATAACACAAAATTACGAGATTACCCCTGCTTTACATAAATGATGCAAGATCAACCCTCTAGGATCGTATTTTGAAAGAGGCGATTGAGGACCACTAAGTGGTTCTCATGAAACGGTTTATGTTCTCACTTGAATCCAACCCCTCAACGAGACCCTTCCACTATTATTTTATTTTCCCGTTACGACAACCACCCAAAAACAGAGTAAATCAATCATTTTGCCTTATGAATCCTCCAAAGAAACCAAGCAATAAAGAAGATGCTCAAGATTTAATGGTTAATGTTCGATGCTCGTTGGGGTTTGCATCGAGTATCACCAAGTTGCTTGAGGATAATCAATTCGATTGTTGCTCAATTTCCGCTTAATACGAACTTATGTAACTATGGTTTTGATTCTCCCACTACCGTTTTTTGACATTAGTTTGTTGCATCCATGTACAAAGGTTAATGCATATGTATTTTCGTACATTAATGGTGTTTGACAAATGGATCACGATTATTAGAGCTTCAAGGATAACGAGAGTTCATCAATCATGATTATATATATATATATATATATATATATATATAACGTGTTTGCAACCAATCAGATAATTGTAACTTTGAACTTGAAGCGTATTTTACTGATAGTTAAAAATTTGAACATGTTTTAAACATTTAAACATATTTTGATAAGAGGAATTTATTGAGACCATGTGATATATATGTAAAGGTATAAATTTGAAATATTAGTTCAATATTAATATCATATATAAAACCGATATGGTCATATTTAAGTTAATAGTCGGTTTTAGTATTTTTAAATGATAATAAATCGAACGAGCTTTTTTTTATAATATAATTTTTTCAAACATAAATCCATTGTTTTATGTTTATACATCCCGAATTCTATATTTTGTTTAGAGTTCCATGTTTTTATGTTAATTAACACACTTTAAACGGTAAAATATTAAGGGGTTGTTCAAAAAGAGCTTAATAGGTTGTACAAGGGATATAATTTATTTGATCAACTACAAAAAGTTGTTCGGTTGTGGCTTATTCGTTAAGCTAAAAAACCATGGTCCTTTTTAGTCAGCCATAAATTTTCTCTAACTACCCTTCCCTTAAAGGAACAAAAAGACTCCCCAGAAGGAAAACTTGCTCGATCCATGCTCCAACTCCAGACTTTCATAGTTCTTCTTCCTGTCGACGCCTACCATCCTCCATGCCAGTATTTCAATTTATCTGGTCGGCTGCTCTCCAGTCGTCGAGCCATATTGATTTATGCCTTGTGTTTTCTACTTCAAATCTTTGTTGTCTTTTCGATTTTTGCCTTGCGTTTTACATATCTGCCTTGCCTTGCGAATTAAACTGCTCTCTCTTATCACTTTTAATTTTATCTATCCCTTAAATTCAGTTTTAATTCCATTTATTCGTTAAATTTGGTTATTTTTTGAATTAAATTTCTTTTGTTTCATATATGAACTTTAGTTGTTCCAAAGCTCTTAACAAAATTCATAGGTGAAACCAGAAAGTAAATGATATAATTGAGGTAGTTTTAACAAAGTTAACAGGTGAAACAATTATGTTCGTTTAAAGCTCATAATGTCGTTGCGTGCATGAATTTTGGTTGTTTCAAAATTTTACCAAAGTTTGTACGCGAAACCAGAAAGATAATGAGATAATTAAGACGAAACCAGAAAGTTTATAGGTGAAACAATGATTTGTATTGCAATATTCAGTTTCGTTTCGTGATATGGGTATAAATTATTTGCATAAAAAGAAGATTCAAAGTTGAAAATTTCAAATTTTAGAATAAATAAGATGAATTACGGAATGTGATAATTAAATGAACGAGAAAAATTATGGCCAGTGAATGAGATAATCTATGAAATATGATAATTAAGAAATGTAATATCAGTATATGAAGAAAAAAACACTCTGGTTTGTAAAATTAATATTAAGTAATGGGTTAACAAATAATTACGCCTCTATGTATATATATATATATGCATAATCAAATAAGAACCCCATATATTATAATAATCATTATCGTAAATTATTGTTTTACATGATTTTTCCCCTCATATAAGACTATAATTTAATATACTGAACAATATATATTTGATTCACAATATTTTATTTCATAAATTATTACAGTTTTGTTGTTATTTAATTAAAATATGTTTTATGTATGAGGTGTTACTTTATAATTTGGTTAGAAATCATTATAGTAAAGTGCATTTTTAAAGATAAGTTTATAAATTGGGTTAAAAACTGTACTCTAAGCGGACCAGATAGTTTTGTATTTGAGCATATTCAACAACTATGATTTTGAACCATAATGGTGGTGCCTGATTGGTTTGAGCTTAGCTCCAAAGATCAAAAGCACCAGGAGGTTCCGGGTTCAAATCCATGGAAGAATAAAAATCTCTTATGGCCACGGAGGTTCAAATGCGATGACTCCAGGCTATCTGTAAAGCAGGTGGTCGTCATGTGATTAGTCGGCTTGCATAGCGGGTTGGATATCCAGGTTAATAAAAAAAACTATGATTTTGAAAATTTAAGGTATATTTTTGCTCCAACAACTATACTATACCGTATGCTAAAATAAAGAAAAGAAGATAAAGAAGGTATAATACTCAAATAGGAGATATCGAAATCAAATGTTTAGAGCAGAGAAATAAAATAGCTATTGAAGTCGGATATAATTTTTTAATTTTTAATACTTTATTTTATAAAAATTATATCATATATACAACGAAGATGTAAGGGGACAATTTCGTCATGTTTGAGGATAATTTTGTCATTTTAAGGTTTTAGGATAATCCGTATATCCGATGGTATAGTGTACGCAATCCGTATATCTGACGGTATACGAAATACAATTCACCGTTCAAACGTTTGTAGTCATCTCGTAGATGAACACCAAGCGCACGCCATTGATACCAATCGTTATCACTTCAAAACCTCCAAATTCATGCTCCTAATCTACGTAAACATTTGAAGTAAGAGAGAAAATTCTCGAAAACCCCAAACTTTCAATCCAGAAGCACAATTGGGGCAACAAAGCAACCGATTTATCATTCTAATTCATCACCATCCGTTGACGTTTTGCCACCGCGATCGGGGAATTAGGTTTGTAATTCTGTGTGTAACCTGAAGCACAGTGTTGATTCTTATCTGGTTGCATGTATTAATTCTCTAAGTTTTTGCTGTTTTTCTGTCTTTAATGGGGTTTTGGATTTTAAGTCAATCTAATGTTTCCTTGGGGGATTTGGAACTTGTTTGCAGTTTATATGGAGCGAAGACGGTGGCTGATGCTGCTGCTGATGGCGTGCTTATTTGTTGGTTCAACTGGCAGAGGTAAGAATCACTGGATTTTATGTTCTGATTCTTCTGGAAGTGTTTGTGTTCCTGGTTTCTTCCTTATTGTTCATTTGCATTACACAAACAGGCAATCTGGTGCACCGACGTTCCTCGCTTCCTCAGGGATAGGGTAGGGAGTCTTTGTAAACAAATATATCTCTGCATTCTATGAGAGCCTATGTACCATGTATCGCCCCTTTTTGAGTACACTACGTTTAAAGTTCTATTCAGTTGATTCAATTGGAAATTAGGAACCGGGGAATCGATAAGAGCAAAGTAGTTGATATTCTGTATTTCTATTAGACCCCCAGAAATAGGTAGACGCTATTTTCGATACCACTATGGTTTACCTCATAATACTAATTCCAATTGGAATTGTTATTTGATAGATTGGAAAAGGAACTGATACCATTTGCTCATGCACATCACACTATTTAAGCATTAGCATTGTGAATTGCGATGCTAGTCAATTGGTGATAAAAATTTCTGCAAAAAGAGTATTGTTTTCCCATGTCAATCATGCACAATTTCAGATTTAGACATTAGCATTGCTACTTGAAACAAGGGGAAAAGGCCTTTTACAAGTATGGTTCTATGGAGAAAGTTTATCGTGCATGAGTTAACATCATCAGGCATTGCAATTAGGGTCACCCCAATCACAAACAAATGTCACCAACATGGACTCAGATGCTACTTGCTAGCATGCAACCTAAGGTCACTTGTGTCACATTGACCTTCCCCTAAACATCATGGGAACTTTGGTAGGTTAAGCAAAGCAAAGCAAATGTATGCAGTATATTCCACTCTAAAGTAGGGTATGAGGAGGGGTAGGATGCACACATGCCTCTACTCCAAGAGATACTTTTTTCCTGAAGGCTCCTGGCTTGCAAAAAAGTTTTGGGAGACGTGAGAGTAACGGAAAATTTGTCAAGTTCTTTTTGGAAGTTCAGTAAGGACGTATGGGAGAAAAAAGGTTAATACAACCAGGACAAGTTAGGATAGCAAGAGACAGTTTTAACTTTTTAAAAGCAAACTAATACTTATATACACATATTTTTTGACCGTGTACTTCCTTCATTGGTAGTAGATTACCATTCAGAAAGCATAAGTCGTTTTTTACGTTTTAAGAACCATACTTGGTTATAAATGAGTTAGTTCGTCAATATATAATCAAAAATCTGAATTCTCTTTTAAGGCCTCGAGTTTGATATTTAGATCTATCGAAAAAACTTCCATCTAGTATTTCTATGGTTTTGGTTAAGTAAACATTCTTTCATAATCTTCTCTCCGTTTCAAGAACATTTGATGTGGGAAAGAAGGATCACACATGGTTATGCATTCGTTCATCTATATGTTTGTGTGTGTATTTGTGTCTAAGCATTGCAATTATGAAGAGACAGAATAGAGAGAAAGCCCTATTATGGTAGTTCAATATCTTCTCTTTTTTGCATGATATATTGGTGAAAGGTGCTTAGTGAGTTTTAACTTTATTTAAGGCAAAAGGGTCTAAGATAAAACATGTTTTGCTTCATTAAAATGACCTACAAAATAGATTTGTGGCCGTGCTTTACCTCGGTGAATCCTGCCACGTGCACCTTGTGTCTTAGAGATGTTCTGTAACAAATACTTTATGAATGGTTTCTCGAGCATATATGGTATCTACAGATGGAGCTATTATGTTGTTGGAAGTGATCATTGTCTTCTGGAAAGCATATTGCTTTTAGATTAGTAGCATTCTCTCTAGTCTAGTCCTTAACCAACTCCAATCCTGGGTCTACCCTCTATAGCTCTTGCTCTACCTGCACACTTCTTTCATCCAAGGTAAAAGCCAGAATGAATCATAACCTTATGAAATTGGATTGACTCTCTTTTGATTGAAGCAGTTTGGACGTGATTACTTCTGTTTTTTCTTCAGTTTCTTTTCTATAGATATGGCTATTTAGAAAATTTCCTGGTTTATAGATGTCTACATTACTGTTGGGGTTCATTTTACACAGAAAGTAGTAAGAATTTACTTAATCATTAAGCTTTTTTATCGATACAGGATTCAGGATCAAGCATACAGTTGAATCAGCGGCATACAATCACACACTTGCCACAATTCTGGTGGAATATGCTTCTGCAGTAAGCTCACTCTGCATAAATTTTGCACTATGAAAGGGCATGTGGGCACAAAACAAATTAACAGCATATCACTCTGAAGCATTGTGGATAAAGTAATGCAATATATAATAATCAAAGGTCGCCTTCATTCATGCAGGTTTACATGTCGGATTTAACAGAACTTTTTACTTGGACCTGTTCAAGATGTGATGGCCTGACCAAGGTACTTGCTGCTGTTGTAGCTTATTGTTAGAGAATGTCAATTGTGCAGTTTTTACTAGCTGTACTGTGTTTGAGTTGTAAGTAAAATAGAAGGAAAATATAATTCATGTACTAGAAGACATCTTTCTTGTTTGCAGAGGAGAGAACGTTAAATTCTTGACATTTTTTTTGTTTGCAAGTCTGAATGAGAGGGAATTAGTGTGTTAAGAGCATGTAATTAACCTTATATTTTTAGAAGCAAAGATATTCCATGAGGGTGTGTTTGGTACGTAGACTGGGTGGGACAGGACGGGACAAAAAAAACAGTCCCATGTTTGGTGTGCCACGGGACAAAAAATGAGTTCTCATGTGACAAAACTTAAGAATTTTTGTTCCACCAAAAAAGGTGGACATGGGACTAAATAGCAACATTACAATATTACCCTTACATAAAAAACCTGGAGACTAAACCTAAACCAAAAACCAAAAACATATCCGATCTAAATCGTCCCTCCATCTCTCCAGAATATCGACCCCAACATCTCATTCAAATCGACTTTTTCTGACTTTGATTTCGTCCATCTTCTTTCCAGAATATCGACCAACATCTCGTTCAAATTGGTTGTTTCTGAGTTTTTATATTTTGTTCATATGGTTCAAATTGATATCCAGAATATCGACTTGTAGATTTTGGTTTGAAGTTATATTTTGATTTGTAGATTTCGATTTGAAGTTATATTTTGATTTGAAGATTTCAAATTACAGATTTACGTGAAGTTTTCGATTCCACAAGTTATATGTCAGATTCCAATTTCGATTTCATTTTGAAGTTATGTGTCGATTTGAAGATATATGTTGGTTTACAGATTCATGTGAATTTCTTTTTCAATTTGAAGTTATCTGTTTCAATTCCACAAGTTCATGTTGCGATGCAATATTACAAGCTGTTGAACCCGATGGAATCTCTTTGTTATGTGAACATTAAACAACATTTAGGGTCAATTTAGTCATTTTAACAGTTTTGTCCTATTCTGTCCAGCTTACCAAACACAAGACAAGCAATTAGTCATTATTCAGTCCTATCCAGTCCAGTCACGTCCCATACGGTCTGCGTACAAAACGCTACCTGAAGGTTGTTTTGTAGTTAAAAGAAGCTAGTTTTGGTTTCTTCTCTTCACTTTCCATTTTCATATTATAGGGAAGAAAAATACCCAAAATTTCTCTTTTCTTGACGAAAGGCTTACAAAGGAACACAATAATTTTTCTTTCCTCTCCATCCCTTTTCCTGGTGAAGCTGAAACAGTGTTCAAATCAAGGCTCATGTTTGCTGTGGTTTTGAGGCAGGGTTTTGAAGTTTTAGAGCTCGTTGTTGATGTTCAGAGCTGCCTGCAGGTACATATGTTTTGCAGTAGCATTGACAAGAGAATATTTCTTCCTTCGTTATTGTTTTTGTCAATGTCACTCTTTCCCAGGTCCCTCAGTTGGCAGTTGTAGGTACTGACTGAATACTGACTGCAGGCCTTTGTTGGGGTGGCAGATGATCTTGATGCTATTGTTATTGCATTCAGAGGCACTCAAGAAACCAGGTATGACTGTTTTGGATTTCACGTGTTGATGTAACTGTTGCTCTTTTATTTCTTGGTTCATGCGGTATACTCTTCATCTTAAAAATAATTGAGAGGAGATTGCTGCATATCTTACTTGGTCGTCGTTGCTTTTGGTAAAGAAGTGAACATGCAAACTAAATGTTAAAATCATCTCATGTTAAACCCACCGACACTTTGAGGTAAGTATTGATATAATATACTCTTTCAGGGGTTTTTTGAGTTTTATGTTTTTATTTAGTCTTATGAAAAAGGAAAACAGATTGCAAGAAGTTACTGCTTGAGAATACACACAGCTCAGTGCATGTGTTAGGGAATGAATCAATGAGACTTGCCTACGAAAATGCTGCTGTTGAGCACATGCTACATCCATCTACACTCTACAGTCACTAAATATGACAATATCTACAAAAACAGGAAAATTTGTCAAGTGGCTGTCACAAGTTTGAATATATGTGGAAATAAATTAATACGTAAAAGGTGATGTTGATTCTTGGGGGTATGGCGCAGTGTTGTACAAGACATGCTAGCCAGATTAGGTTGAGTGAATAAGACCATGTCACCATCTTGTGTTATCTGACCCTAGACCTACTTGGCGTATAACCATTTTCTTATGATAATGTTTTGTTAGCAGTTAAATATGGAGATTATATTTTGGAAAATGGTTTCCAGTTCCGAGCAGTTTACCTAACTAATAAAACAGAAGTTTGAAAGCTGCCACTATCTCCATCTATATGGATGGTCTGGCATGTTTGTTAAAAATGCATTTTATATCTAAAGTGTACTGTAAAATTTTGAACATGACCCTGTTGCAACGATCTTTAGCTACCAAAATTGTTTCATGAGAAGGAAAAACAGTTCATATCTTCATCTTCTTCAACCTCCTGACAGTTTCATGAGAAGGAAAAACAATTCATATCTTCATTTTCTTCAACCTCCTGACAGTTCTATCTGATTTTATTCCCGATGAAATCATCATCCTTTGATCATTTATAGCCAAAAAACCATCCATTTGGGTTTGACAGCTATGCCGACTACTTCCTCATTAATTCAACATTTCTTCTAATGCAAATTTAGTGATTTTATGTACATCTTTAGCCAGTCCACAAAAACCACCAGTTTCACATTCTTGGAACTCTTCCTGCTCCACTGCACTACTCTTGCCATCTCCAGTATCCCCAACATTGGTTGAAGGCACACCAACAAACCACATTGATGACTGTTTCAAGAAGCTTGTCAGGGTTTCAGTCTTTATTCATTATCTAAATTTACAGTTAAATGTTGAAATCCAAATGAACATCATTAGAGATCTTAGACATTAAGGGGAAGAGTGCCTAAAACATACCACCATATACAAATTATACAATACCATCAATATGATAAATTCACACATGTCAGATCAGATCATGTTGGAATTTGGAAATGGGGGAACAATGTTGATTGTGAGGATTAGAACAATGTGGATTGCAGTGAGAAATTGACAACTAGAGATGATACATGGGGAAAATGGGGTCTTTCTGCAATCAGCACTAATGAAAACGGATTTTTGTATGTTCTCAATAAAGTAAATATGCCGCATCAACCATTTGGATGTAACAAGTAACATCTGTGAAAAGCTATAGCCTAGGTTGGGTTCAAGGTTTGAAAACCTCATTTTGTGTTTGAGTGACAAATAAAAAGTGGACTTCAGAGCTTCATAGGATTTTTTATGTCGTGTTTTCTTTTGAAAAAATGGATCAATTTTCTCTAAAAATTAGCAGTACATTGTAAAATGAATTTCCTGCTAAGGTAAAATGAGTAAGAGGGGGGGGGAGTAAGATAAAGTACAGGGCTCATAAGCAGAATAACGAACAAAAGCCTAAGTCATACCTTCTGTAGTTGTTGGATTGCCTAAAGCTTAATTCTGCTCATGTTATATGGGAGAACATATTTATGATTATTGAAGACTAATCCTCTTGTGTTTGTTCTCTTTCCTTTAGATATTTGCATGTTTATCATTTCTAATGAAGAGCTATTGTTACAGTATACAGAATTGGATTGAGGACCTCTTCTGGAAACAGCTTGACTTTGATTATCCTGGGTGCACAGATGCCAAGGTGCATGTTGTAGTAATTTTGCTTATTATGTTTGCCTCTGTGATATCATTGTTTCATCTTTCAACCATTGTTTCAGGTGCATCATGGATTTTTTAATGCTTACAATAATACAATTATGCGGTCTGGAATTCTTGATGGTGTTAATAGAGCAAAAGAGATATACGGAGACCTAAAGGTTATGGTGACAGGGCATTCAATGGGAGGGGCTATGGCTGCTTTTTGTGGCCTGGATCTTGCGGTAACCATGATCACGCCATCCCTTCACCTTACGATATGTTCTTTTTGCTGATATGCACTTACCATTTACTATATTCAGTCATTTCGTCAGCAAGATAACATAGCTTTATCATTGTTAATAGAAGTGCTGGTGTTTTTACATCAATATTTAGACTAACAGTTGCTGCTACTTTGACATGGAGGTTACGCAGCTATTTGACCGTTCCGTTATTGGTTATCTGTGACTTGTGCCTCTTTTACGTGTTTGGTTGACCCCCATTTTGGAGTATTTAAGATAATCATCTGTTTCTGTAGTAGGTATAAATGACTTAAACCATTGTACGTCTTTTGGAGCTAAACTAAAAGGATCATTTACGCTTTTACAGCACATTTACGGATCCAAGAACGTTCAAGTTATGACATTTGGACAACCTCGAATTGGCAATGCTGCTTTCGCGTCATATTATAGTGAACATGTACCAAATACGTTTAGAGTGACACATGAACATGATATGGTGCCTCATCTGCCGCCCTATTATCGCTACTTCCCGGAGAAGACATATCATCACTTTCCAAGAGAGGTAATGTTGTTTGACTTTCTTGACTTGTAGCACTTTGCTCTACTACTACCAAGCTCAATGTCTGCCAGCTTATGATCCTTTTTTCTATTTGTAAACTTATAGTTACACTGTAACCTGTTCCCCAGCTCGATAAATAATGCTTATATTGTGATTCCTGCCTTTGTTTGTGCCTCGTGACCTTCACTGTAACCTACATTGCTCTTATTTTTATAGTTGCTGAATAATAATGGCTGCCATCTATAATAAGATATCAATAAAGTGAAAGTGATGCTTTTTGGTTACATAGAGGCCTTACAGTTCTGATTGGTAGGCCTACAAGCTTCTACTCTCCCTTATTGGTCAGTAACTTCATTTTCAACCAATTTCTTTCACACATGAATGTTAAATGGAATAATTTCAAGAAAACTGGTCTTACTCCAAGCCACATTGGAGCTGTCTGAATCACACTGTCTTGCAAGTGATGTTGCAGGTTTATAGCTTTTAGCTGAATCGGTGTTACGATTGCATTTTATATAATACAAAGCCCAGAATTTTTATTACTAATAATCTTAACAGCATGGACAGACATCATTGATTACATCTGTTTTGCATTTCATTGAATTCAAATGTTTTAGGCCGACAACTGTGGCTTTGCCACTGTGGCATTCAGCCCCTTCCCACTACTTGTACTTCTTTCTACGCATATAAGATTGAACATATTTTAGTTGTATTGAATATAAGAATGGGGAAAGCATCTGCCTGTTAATATCAAATTAGAGTGGTTTCAGATGTTATCTTTTCTTCTTTTTCTCACTTCGACTTTATAATGCGAACGTTGCTGCCTTCCAATTTGCAGGTGTGGCTCTATAACGTTGGATTTGGATTTCTTATTTATGAAGTTGAGAAGATCTGTGATGGTTCCGGTGAAGACCCTGAATGTAGCAGGTACTAGCTCCTCGTCATTAATCTAGCATTGCAGTTGTTTGCGTCTTTGAATCTTGAAATTTCAATGAATAGATGGGGTTGACTAAGTTGCTTAAGATTAGGATGAACCCTTACGACACCCCCCACTTTCTGAAGTACTAGTAATAAAGGTTATGCTTGTCAAATGAGTGCTCAACTTTTTTTGAAATATATAATATTTTATATACGGCAAAACCCACACACCCCTTGACCTCCTGGGTGGTTGGGCTCCGCCGGTAACCTGGGTACTGCTGGGACAATGGCACTTCAATGTCAACTTCTTGGAACATCGAATGTGGCTTAAATCATCATTTCTTTTGTGAAATGAATGAGGAAGCCTTTGAGTCTGTAGAGGTGGGCCATGGACAGTGTCTAAAAGGCTTGCCGTGGTGCAAGGCTCGTCTCCTGCACCAAGTTAGCCCTTGTGGCAAGCCCCATGTGCCTTTCTGTAAGGCGTTATTTGATCTAGTTATACTTTTCTACTTTTTGTACCTTTTTGATGTTTTACTTTTTAGTTTTTAGGATATAACCTATTTGTATATCATCTTAGATCAAGTCATAGTAGAAAACATATATATACATATGATATACATATTAAGCTTAGACCTCACTGCTACGTCATGCCTCACACCATTTGGAACCTTGACCATGGGCACAACCGGCAAAAATAAGTACGGTCTAGTCAACAATCTGGTCAATGTGGTCCAGAAAAAGCCTGGTCAGGTCCAAACGCCCACCACTAAGGGGCCATTTACTAAACACTTACCTGGTAAATGCTTACTGGGTGACATTACCTTATTGGATGAACATGACAATGATTGAGAATTTTACCTAGTAAGAGTGATGACAAGGACCGAGAATCTTACCCAGTTAGAGTGACAACACTTACCTGGTAAGTGCTTACCGGATAAATTGTTGCATGCGATACCATTTTAAAGGATTAATATCTTACCCAGTAAGTTAAGAGGAAGTGTTCACTCTTACCGGGTAAGCATTGGGTAAACGGCCCCTAATTCAATGCTTCCTCATCCAGGAAGACTGCTAGGTCAAACAGACTATATTTTTAAACTCTAATCAACTAATTGTTCCTCTTTTCTGGAGATATTTTGATGAAGAAGAAACTCATATTTCAAGTGGTTGCTGAATATTTCAGGTCAGTTTCTGGAAACAGTATATCAGACCATCTGTCTTACTTTGGTGTCGAAATGGGTTGCGATACATCAAGCAAATGCAGGATCGTGATGGCCCCTACTCTTGCTTCGTATGGCAATGTAGATAATAACGGAAATTTTGCCTTGTCTAGACTTCCTTCCAAGTTTATCTTGAAAATGAAAACCGAGCCAGGGGTCAACAACACCAATCATCGTGTATATTAGCATTTTAGAAAGGCAATGGTGGGGTATTCATATGGGTTTTTGGTTGTAAATACGAATGTATAGTGTTCTTGTTTATTGAATATTTAGTACCACGTCTTAATAAAGTTGTGTTGCGATGATGGTTTAGAAGCGGCATGATTGAGTTCCGAACTTGTATCTTAACCTATGCTTTGCGCTGCAATAGTGGCACAATCTCGGATATCGACCCTAAGCAGAATAGCGGTGGTCAAATTGCGGTGTAAATAGCTGTGGTCAAATTGCGGTGTAAATAGCGGTAATGCAATTATCAGCACAATTTTGACGGTGTAGGGTCAAATTGCTGTCTGCAATAGCGTTATTTATTTTTGGGGTTTTTTGGGGCTTTATTTTGAGTCTTTGTTCTGGACAGTTGGACTTTTTTGATCTGGACTATGTTTTAACTTTAATTCATTAACATAACAATTACTTTCTTTCTAACATCAACCCAAGTTGCAATTTAAGGAAGTTGTAGGTTTTTATTTTCGACAATCGACAGCCTCCTGCAGACGGACCAGACCTCCACTGCTCGGCTTTTGTTTCAGCCTCCTCCAGATGGATCAGACCTCCAATGCTCAACTTTTGTTTTTGTTTTAGACGATCTCATCTTTTGCTAGTTTAGACGACGACGATCTCATCTTCTGCTTTAGACGACCATGACTCCACGATGATGTTGAATCTATTGTTTGTGATTAGCTTGTTTATCAACACTTTTCCTATTTTGTTTTGTAAAACTTGTTTAAGTTGATGGTTTGATGTTGAAACTATATTTTTAATTAATGCAAATGATATGTTAATGTATGTATGTATATACATATATATATATGTATATACATGTAGGTGGAGGTTCAAACGAGAACCCATGTGATTTACGAAAACGCGAGAACAATCTAATAACCTCAAACTTTTTTAATTAATAAATTAACTTATATTAAATATAAATAAAKTAATAAGGGCAGTAATGTAATTAATTAATTTTATAAATTTTATTTTATTTTAATTAGTCATAATTATCCCTTTTTTTCCTGCACGTTCTTTTCCACTCTCT